ACTCTGCGATGCCATGGACTGCAGCACGCCAGGCCTCCCTGTCCATCACCAACTCCTGGAGTTTACTCAAACTCATGTCCATTGAGCCAGTGATGCCACCCAACCATCTCATCCTCTGTTGTCCCCTTCTCCTCCCAGCAACAGGGTCTTTTCCAATGAGTCAGTTCTTTGCATGAGGCGGCCAAAGGATTGGAGTTTCAGCTTCAGCATCAGTTCTTCCAATGAACACTCAGGACTGAGCTCCTTTAGGATGGACTGGTTGGATCTCCTTGTAGTCCAAGGGACTCTCAAGAGTCTTCTCCAACACCACAGGTCAAAAACATCATTTCTTCAATGCTCAACTTTCTTTATAGGCCAACTCTCACATCCATACATGACTACTGGGAAAACCATAGCCTTAACCAGATGGACATTTGTTGACAAAGTAATGTCTCTGCCCTTTAATATGCTGTCTAGGTTGGTCATAACTTTTCTTCCAAGGAGCAAGCATCTTTTAATTTCATGGCTGCAATCACCATCTGCAGTGATTTTGGAGCCCAAAAAAATGAAGTCTGTCACTGTTTCCATTGTTTCCCCATCTATTTGCCATGAAATGATGGGACCAGATACCATGATCTTAGTTTTCTTAATGTTGAGTAGTTTTAAGCCAACTTTTTCACTCTCCTCTTTCACTTTCATCAAGAGGCTCTTTAGTCCTTCACTTTCTACCATAAGGGTGGTATCATCTGCATATCTGAGGTTATTGATATTTCTCCTGGCACTCTTGATTCCAGCTTGTGCTTCCTCCAGCCCAGAGTTTCTCATGATGTACTCTCCATGTAAGTTAAATAAGCAGGGTGACAATATATAGCCTTGACCTACTCCTTTCCTATTTGGAATCAGTCTGTTGTTCCATGTCCAGTTCTAACTGTTGCTTCCTGACCTGCATACAGATTTCTCAGGAGACAGGTCAGGTGGTATGGTAGTCCTGTCTCTTGAAGAGTTTTCAACAGTTTGTTGTGATCCACATAGTCAAAGACTTTGGCACAGTCAATAAAGTAGATGTTTTTCTGGAACTCTCTTGCTTTTTTGATGATCCAATGAATGTTGGCAATTTGATCTTTGGTTCCTTTGCCTTTTCTAAATTCAGCTTGAATATCTGGAAGTTCATGCTTCATGTACTGTTGAAGCCTTTCTTGGAGAATTTTGAGCATTACTTTGCTAGCATGTGAGATGAGTGCAATTGTGCGGTAGTTTGAGCATTCTTTAGCATTGTCTTTCTTTGGGATTGGAATGAAAACTGATCTTTTCCAGTCCTGTGGCCAGTGCTGAGTTTTCCAAATTTGCTGGCATATTGAGTGCAGCACTTTCACAGCATCATCTTTCAGGATTTGAAATAGCTCAACTGGAATTCCATCACATCCACTAGCTTTGTTTGTAGTGATGCTTCCTAAGGCCTACTTGACTTCACATTCCAGGATGTCTGGCTCTAGGTGAGTGTGAGTGATCACACCATCGTGATTACCTGGGTCATGAAGATCTTTTTTGTACAGTTCTGTGTATTCTTGCCACCTCTTCTTAATATCGTCAGTTTCTGTTAGGTCCATACCATTTCTGTCCTTTATTGAGCCCATCTTTGCATGAAATGTTCCCTTGGTATCTCTAATTTCTTGAAGAGATGTCTAGTCTTTCCTTTTCTATTGCTTTCCTCTATTTCTTTGCACTGATCACTGAGGAAGGCTTTCTTATCTCTCCTTGCTATTCTTTGAAACTGCATTCAGATGGGTATATCTTTCCATTTCTCCTTTGCCTTTTGCTTCTCTTCTATTTACAGCTATTTGTAAGGCCTCCTCAGACAACCATTTTGCCTTTTTGCATTTCTTTTTCTTGGGGATGGTCTTGCAAGGGTTCATAGCAAGTTTATTTTTGCATTTGAGGCAAATTTGCAGAGTGCTTTCACAGTGTGTTTATTAAGGTATATCACCTAGGAATCATGTTATCATCCATCTGGAGGTGGGGATATTTATTTGACCTTTTCCTCCTGTTTACTGGCTTTTGTTCCTCAGGCTCTGGGACCAGGAATGAGATGCTTATCAGCCCTGAGAACTGGTGAAGAGATAGCAGAGCCGCTCTGCGAGCTTGGGAGTTCAAATGTAACCTGCCCAAGAGCACTTTCTAAGCAAGACCTGAGTGACAAATTCAGCAGTCAGCAAGGTGATATTTCTTAATTGATTGTCCTTACAGAAACCAACATGTTTATCTGTTGTTTTTTTTTTTTAGTATCTTCATTGGTCATCTTTCATTAGACTTGTTATGTGCTTGCGAAAAATATCAACAGGGAAGATAGTAACTCCCAGATAATTAACCAACTCACTCTGAATCAGCAGGAGAGGTACCCAAAGATCGAAGCAAGCAGGGAGCAAACAGGGCATCCTCTCCATCTCTAAAACTCATCCTTCTCTAAGGCAATTATGACAAAAGTCTTTTTTCACAGTATCTGAAGAGACAAGGCATGCCAAAAACATTAAAATCTTTTAAGAAAGGAAAAATGAGTGTGCATAAAAGCTGGTGAAATCTGAGCAAGTTCTGTGGACTATCAATACCATGCAATTCTTAGTATTGATAATAAACTATAGTTAAGAAGGTGCTACCTCTGGGGGAGACTGGGTGACTGGGTGATGGTTATGCTGGATCTCTCAGTAGTATTTTTGTAACTTCTTGTGTGTTTATAATTATTTCAAAGTAAAAGAAAAACAGGTTTATGTCTATATATTATATATTTAAATATATGTATATATTTTTATATACTAGAGATACATCTATATGTTTAGATATGTCTGTTTGTATTTGGTACATGTGTATACATTTGGACATATGTACATTATTTGGATATGAGTGTATATATTTGGATATATATGTATATATTTGGCTATCATGTGCTTAGTCACTCAGTCGTGTCCAACTCTTTGCGACTGCATAAACTGTAGCCCCCAGGCTCCTCCGTCCATGGGATTTTTCAAACAAGTAATACTGGAGAGGGTTGCTACCTCCTTCTCCAGGGGATTTTCCCAATCCAGGGACTGAACCTCTGTCTCCTGTGTCTTCTGCATTGCAGGGAGATTCTTTACCCTCTGAGCCATCTGGGAAATCTCTCATATAGGGATATAAGTGTACATATTTGGATACATATGTATATATTTGGGCAAGTGTCACACGCTAATAAAGTAATGTCCAAAATCTTCCAAGCCAGGCTTCAGTAATAAGTGAAGCGTGAACTTCCAGATGTTCAAGTTGGTTTTAGAAAAGGCAGAGGAACCAGAGATCAAACTGCCAACATCCGCTGGATCATCAAAAAAGCAAGAGAGTTCCAGAAAAACATCTATTTCTGCTTTACTGACTATGCCAAAGCCTTTGACTGTGTGGATCACAATAAACTGTGGAAAATTCTGAAAGAGATGGGAATACCAGACCATCTGACCTGACTCTTGAGAAACCTGTATGCAGGTCAGGAAGTAACGGTTAGAACTGCATATGGAACAACAGACTGGTTCCAAATATGAAAAGGAGTACGTCAAGGCTGTATATTGTCACCCTGCTTATTTAACTTATACGCAGAGTACATCATGAGAAACGCTGGGCTGGAAGAAGCACAAGCTGGAATCAGTATTGCCGGGAGAAATATCAGTAACCTGAGATATGCAGATAATACCACCCTTATGGCAGAAAGTGAAGAGGAACTAAAAAACCTCTTGATGAAAGTGAAGGAGGAGAGTGGAAAAGTTGGCTGAAAGTTCAATATTCAGAAAACTAAGATCATGGCATCCAGGCCCATCACTTCATGGGAAATAGATGGGGAAACAGTGGAAACATTGTCAGACTTCATTTTTTTGGGCTCCAAAATCACTGCAGATGTTGATTGCAGCTATGAAATTAAAAGACGCTTACTCCTTGGAAGGAAAGTTATGACCAACTTAGATAGCATATTAAAAAGCAGAGACATTACTTTGCCAACAAAGGTCTGTCTAGTCAAGGCTATGGTTTTTCCAGTAGTCATGTATGGATGTGAGAGCTGGACTATAAAGAAAGCTGAGCACCGAAGAATTGATGCTTTTGAACTGTGGTGTCAGAGAAGACTCTTGAGAGTCCCTTGGACTGCAAGGAGATCCTACCAGTCCATCCTAAAGATCAGTCCTGGGTGTTCATTGGAAGGACTGATGTTGAAGTTGAAACTCCAATCCTTTGGCCACCTCACACGAAGAGCTGACTCATTGGAAAAGACCCTAATGCTGGGAAGGATTGGGGGCAGAGGGAGAAGGGGATGACAGAGGATGAGATGGCTGGATGGCATCACCGACTCGATGGACATGGGTTTGGTTGGACTCCAGGAGTTGGTGATGGACACCCTGGCGTGCTGCGCTTCATGGGGTCGCAAAGAGTTGGACATGACTGAGCAACTGAACTGAACTGATATACATATTTGAATATGTGTATATATTTGGACATGTGAGTACATATTTGGACGTGTATGTATATATTTGTATATGTGTGTATGTATTTGTATATATATGTATATATTTGAACATGTGAGTACATATCTGGATATATATACTTAAGAGGACCCAGAATGATGTAGATGCTTCCACAATATTTGAGAACTTTCCAAGTATAGAAACTTGCCGGGGGAGAATCTAAACTTATAGAATTTCTAAACTGGGGAGGCTAACCCAACCTTTGATTTCTGTGAGCTCACAAGAAGGGTGAGTGAGATGACAGGCCCTCTCCCCGCCTCCACGCGCCCCCCGCCCTCCGCCCCACTGCAGCCCAGACATTATTCAAGCCTCGCTGAAGCCTCCGGCTCAACAGCCCGCCCCCCACACGTCGCCCTGCAATCCAGAGCCGTCGGAGCTCAGGCCTGCTCGGGCCTCCTGGGTGCTCAGGGGAGGCCATCATCTCTGCATGCAGGTGAACCATTCAACAGAGGCCCCAGCAGCTCGCCTGGACCCCAAGAAACCACCCCTCCCTCATCTGCGCATCCTCGCCAGAACCACCCTGCGGTGGAGGCGCCCCGAAAGGTCCCCGAGGGAAGCGTGGAGCTGGGAGGCGGGGGGTGGGGGTGGGGGTGGGGTCAGAGTTTCAAGGTAGTGAGGCCTGATCTGGGCCTTCAGTCCTCGCCGCTGCAGTGTCCGCAGGGCGGCCGGCGCGGTGCGCAGCGCCCCGGACACGGGGAAACCCTCCCGGCCCCCCGCGATCCCCCTCCTGACCAGGAGGGGGCGGTGCGCGTCCGCGGCTCGGACTGCGAGGCGGGCCGGCAGCGGGACTGACGCTCGGCGGGAGGAGTGAGACCCCGCTTCCCGTCTTGGGGAGTGAGTCCCCGCCTCCCGGGGAAGCGACCCCGACCCTAGAGGACGAGCGGGAGCTGTGGGAAACAGGAGAAGCGTGTTCTGAGCAGAGAAGATGAACGTGCAATGTCGCAGAGGCAAGGGTCCCATCCAAGAGAGGCAAAGTCCTTCAAGCTGAAAATCAGAAATGATGGGAAAGAGCCGGAATAGCATCTACACCCCAGCAAGAACGACAGGGACCCTTGAAGGGTCTTAAAATGGAAGAGTGGTCTCATCCTCCTGCCTCATGTGGTGAGCAGAGAAGGAAGGAAAGTGAAAGTCGCTCAGTCGTGTCCGATTCTTTCCGACTCCATGGACTGTGTCCATGGAATTCTCCAGGCCAGAATACTGAGTGGGTAGCCCTTCCCTTCTCCAGCGGATCTTCCCAACCCAGGGACTGAACCCAGGTCTCCCGCATTGCAGGTGGATTCTTTACCAGCTGAGCCTCAAGGGAAGCCCAGAAAGGAAGGAAGTGACAGATTAGGGAGGTCTGAAAGCAGATACCTGCAAAACAGAAAGGGCATGGGATCAGGGAGGTGGTTAGAGAGTAGAATTGACAAGGTTTTGTGACTGATTGGATCTGGGGGCGGGGGGGGGGGGTGTGGGGTGTGTCGGGGGAAGCGGTGAAATCAAGGCTGGTGCCAGGGTGTCTATCTTGGTAGAGAGGGGTGTCTTCATTGAGAAGGAACCATCAAAGAATGAGATGAGCTTGCTTAGAGACATGTTACCTCTGGGAATTTATGAAAGTCCCCCGTAGCAGTTGCCCAGAAGGCAATTGGATATTTGGGTCTAGAGCAGCGTTTGGCAAACCGTAGCCCATGGGGCAGCCTCCTGGTTTTGTAAATAAAATTTTATGGGCGCACAGCCCAGCCTGTTCATTTATTACCGGCCACTGGCTGCATGTGCATGACAATGAGTAGATGCGAATGAAGGTGTATGTTGGCCAGAGGTCCATAAAATATTTACTACCTGGTTTTTGCAGGAAATGTTTGCCCAGGGAAGCGGTGTGGGCTGGAGATACAGAATCGAGTATATAATACTGAATCAAGGGAAGTGGATGAGGTCACCCCGGGAGAAGAAAAGAAGACTTGGGATGGAACAAGGTATATTCCACATCTTCTTTATCCGTTTAGCTGTTGATGGACATTTGGGTTGCTTCCATATCCCGGCTATTGTAAAGAGTGCTGCCATGAACACAGAGGTGCATGTATCTTTTGACTTAGAGTTTTATCCCAGTATATGCGCAGTAGTGGCATTGCTGGGTCATATAGCATTTTTATTCCTATTTTTTTAGGGAAAAACTTTTTTTAAATTTATTTTTAAGGGAAAAAAATAGGAATAAAATAGTCTTCTCCATTGTGGCTGGAGAATTTACATTTCCTCAACAGTGCAGTAGGGTTCCCTTTTCTCCACACCCTCTCCAGCATTTATTGTTTGTAGATTTTTTTTGAGGATGGCCATTTTGACCCATGTAAGGTGGTACCTCTATGTAGTTTTGACATGCATTTCTCTAATAATTAGTGATTTTGAGCATCTTTTCATATGCCTTTTGGCCATCTGTATGTCTTCTTTGGAGAAATGTCTATTTAGGTCTTCTGCCCAGTTTTTGATTGGGTTGTTTTTTGTTTCTTTTTGTTGTTGTTGTTGGTATTGAACTGTATGAGCTGTTTGTATGTTTTGGAAATTGCAAGTATTTTCTTCCAGTCTGTAGGTTATCTTTTCATTTTGTTTATGGTTTACTTTGCTGTGCAAAAGCTGTTAAGTTTATTAGGTCCCATTTGTTTACTTTTGCTTTTGTTTCCTTTGCCTTGGGAGACTGACCTAAGAAAACATTGCTGTGACTTATGTCAAAGAAAGTTTTGCCCGTATTCTCTTCTAGCAGTTTTACGGTGTCGGGTCTTATGTTTAAGTCGTTAAGCCATTTTGAGTTTATTTTTGTGTACGGTGTGAGGGAGTGCTCAAGGGAAGTCTTTAGAGGTGATGAACAGTCAGCTGGAGGACTCTAATGGTGGGGTTCTGAGAAACCAAGGAGAGTGAGACTTTGTTGATGGTGGGAATGGTCAGCAGTGACAGATGCTTCTGAGAATTCAAGTGAGATTTACTTGTGTGTCCCAGCACATATGGGGGAACATATGGGGTCACAACACCTTACGCAGCCAAATCTCAATGACTAAGGCTCCAGACAAAATCCACTCTGCCCACCACTCTCACTAAATATATACAAACCCCAGGTGGCGCACTGATAAAGAATCTGCCTGCCAATCCAGGAGGTGCAGAGGACGCAGGTTCAATCCCTGGGTCAGGAAGATCCCCTGGAGGAGGAAATGGCAACCCACTGCAGTATTCTTGCCTAAAAAATTCCTCGGACAGAGGAGTCTGGGGGCTGCTGCAGTCCGGGGGGTCGCAAAGAGTTGGACATGACTCAGTAAGCACAGCACACGGGAAAATAGCGGATTTTATTCAACCAATTCCTGACCCACCTCTGTAACCCTTTTGCCCCAGCATGTTTGCTCTTTGACCGATCTCCATTTAACAGTGATTTTGTAACATCACATTTTATGAGAGAATAGAAAAGTCATTCATTCTTTCTCGAGCATTTTTTTATTGGTAGATTTAAAAACTTTCAAGTTCATAACTTATTATTGATAACGAAAGACAGCTTTTAAGGATTATTGTAAAATTTAGGGAGGCCACCATCAAATTACTTTTATGTATGAGCTGTAAGATTTGGAATACTTCCCAGGACTTTCTTCCAGCTTGGTGCCTTTCAAATGCATGTATCATATCACATTAGCGAGAGAAAAAGAAATCTTCTAGGTTGAGACTCGGTGGACTGTTTACCATCTAAAACCATCAGGGAAGCCTCCTAGTTCAATGAGTGGGGTGGATATATTGATTTTGGGTTCAAGTATCATAAAGAAGTTACCTGGTTGATGTCTGGCGAGTTTAGGCAGAAGATGGGAGCCAAGTATATAAACTTTGCCTGGAAAGGGGTGAATTATGTCCTGACCCAGTGTGAGAGTGATAAAGGGACAAGACCCAGGTAAAGGTCACCCAGGATGGCCCCTTCACGAGCCCTGTGGGGCTGGTGACATTCCATTCATATGTTTCATGTGGGATTTCTAAGAAGAGGACACAACACATACTGTGAACTCTTCACTCATCAGTTTTTTCTTTCTAATGAACCTATTTACATGGGCTTCCCTGGTGACTTGATAGTAAAGAATCCACCTGCCAAGCGGGAGATGAGGGTTTGATCCCTGGGTCCGGAAGATTCCCTGAAGAAGGAAATGGCTTCTTCAACCCCCCTCCAGTATTCTTGCCTGGGAAATCTCATGGACAGAGGAAGCTATCAAGCTACTGTCCATGGGGTTGCAAAAGAGTCAAAGATGACTCAGCGACTAAACAACAGTTGGTAGTTCAGAAAGGCTCCGCAGGCAAGCAGCAGCTAACCCACATGTCACTGCAAGCCCCAGTTCCTTCCAGAGTCCTCCCCTGTTGCCCGTGGAGTGAGGGATTGCTGCAAACATCGTCCAGCTTTATTCGACCTACTTTACAAAACCAAGTCCCACCATCTGAATAACTATGGGAGCTAAAGGCTTACTGCATTTGGTTCCTCAAGACCCCTTTCCACCTGCCCAGGCCAAACTTAGGAGTAATCCCATGAAGAGTCCTGGGGCCCTTCTGTGGAAATTACAGTACATCAGACATTGCAGGAGACCCACTCTGCCTGAAACCAAGGGCTGCCGTCAGTCACGTCTTCCTTGGGAGGAAGCACCGGGTTCAGACATGGGTGGGCAGTTCACTAAGAACTGATCTGCTGATGAGCAAAAGAGTGGAAAAGTGAAATGAGACAGGCATTATTACCACAGGGGCAATTTCTTACTTCCAACTACCATTTATTATAGACTTGTCCACTTTCTGCTGGGCACAAACACCATGATTAATGAAGCACAATAAAACCAATATCATGCTATGATTAGCAGCTTTTCCTCTATTATTATTATTACCATCTTACAGGTCAGGACATTGAAACTCATCCGCCCAAAGTTATGCCAATGGAAAGGATCCTAAGTATCTGGGTCCCAAGTGACTGTTTTTAACCACTGCCTTGCAGACTTCTTCTGGAAGAAGCAACATCAGTGGCAGCGACAATAGTGTTAGCTCCACTGGATTGAGAAATGGTTGCACAGGAGGCCCTGTCCTTAGTACTTCACGTGCAGGCATGCTCAGTTGCTTAGGATGTCAAATTCTTTGCAACCCCATGCACTGTAGCCCACCAGGTTCCTCTGTCCATGGGATTTCCCTGGCAAGGACACTGGAGCGGGTTGCCATTTCCTTCTCCAGGGGATCTTTCAGACCCAGTCGAACCAGCATCTCCTGCATTGGCAGGCAGATTCTTTACCACTGAGCCCCTGGGAGGGAGCCCCTAGCACTGTACATGGATTATTTCATTTACTCCTCCTCCTGACCCTAAGAGGAATTTGTTATCATTCACGTCTTACTGACACAGAAGGAGAGGTTCAGTTAACTGCCCCAGGTTCACACAGCTGGTGAGGCTGGATGGGGTATCGAATGCCAGGGCCAAGCCCTTCAGCCCTCCAGCTTCCTATCGTTGCCACATTCACTCCAATGCTCAGAACGAGCATTTATTGAGCACCTACTGCTTTTGTGGAACTGTGATCACCCTGGAAGTCCCAGCACTGAGGCCAAGCCAAGTACTGTTAGAAAGAACAGAAGTGTGCTGGCTGGTCGGGGTGGGGTGCGTAGAGGGTGGGGGGGGGTGTGTAGCGGGGAGGGGGTCGCTGCTTATCTCGGTGGTGCTGCCCAGAGGCCATCTGCCTGGGTTTGCACATTTCAGTTTCTTGTACTGAGCTTGCTGCCTAATTGTGCAGAGTTCTGTTTGCTTTGTTTTTAGAATGAACATCACCAAGCAGAGGTTAAATTCCAGGACACGCACTGCACATTGCATTTCCCCAAACCAGCAGAGGGTGTGTTGGTGCTCAAATAAATGAAATTGAATGAAAGCTTCTGTTTCTGGTCTCTCTTCATTATTGATCCATAAAGGCCTTTAAAGGGGTCAGCTTTTGTTGCAATCAACAACTAGGCAGGCAAAGAATCAGGCCATCGAAGGCTTTCTTCTTCTCAAAGCTCCTTTTTGAGCCGGGTTCTGCAGAGTCTTGCTTATCTGGAGAGACGGGCAAGCCATAAGAGATAAAACAGATTATGTTACATGCTTAAATGTGGAAGGTTGGCTTCCTGCAAGAGCTTGGAGTTTCCAGAAACACCGAAACTGCCTCCCCTTGGGCGATCCCAGCGCCTCGGGGGCAATAGCTCTGACGCAGTTCAGACTTCACTCCAAACCACAGAAGCGCAAACAACCTTTCTTCTCAGCCGGGCCTTTGAAGCGCTCTACTCGGCCGGGAAACACTTCGGAGCCAAACAGAAGCGGACTCCGACAGCGGCCGGCAGGGGACGGCAGACCCCAGCCTGTTCAGCCGCGGGGGCTGCCGCCCGCGCCCCCAGGTGGGGGTCCCCCGGTCCACCAAACCTGTCGCAGGTTTTCTGCTCAGAGGCTCCACCAGCCCAGCTCATTCCCTTCTCAGGCTGCAGGCTCGGGCTGCAAGGGAGAGGATTCCAAGGCGGGGATGGGAGCTGGTGCGGGCGCCTGGCCAATTGCTGTGGACGATTTATGCCTCTGATAGGAAAACTGGAGATGCTGGCCAAGTCGGCAGCTGCCTGCATTCCGGCAAAGTCACGGGGCGGCGGCGGCGGCCTCGCGGCCAGTGCCCGCGCGGCGGGAGCGGGACCCGCCCCGGGGAAGGATGCGCGGAGCCAAGGTAGGGGACCCCTCCGCCTCCAAGCTGGGCTCGGGTCTGCCGGCGCGTGGCCCGCCCTCCCGGGGGTGGAGATGGGGAGCGGGTCAGGTCCCCTCGGCCCAGCAGCTGGCTCAGCGTCGGAACACAACGGGGTGGCTGGGTTGACCATCTGTATGGAAGGGGAGAAACGGAATTTTCAGTGAGTGGGTTTTTGCCTTTCCAGGAGCGCTGATGCTTGGCCCTGGTGCTCTAGACCCTGAATGCCCAGTTTCGAAACTGGCCAGAGTAGGCGATGTTTCGGGGGAGGGCAGCCCCCTGCATCTCCCTGTTTTTACATCCTTTTGCTGAGGGTGTGTGAAGAGATTGTGACAGGCTGGGTGGGAAGAGATGGGCAAAGAGCTCCAACGCCTCTATTTCCGAGCAGAGACATTTCACAGCCAGGAAAAACCAATATAATCAGTTCTGCCTTAACATGCCCACTGTGGGCCTGTCATCTTCCTGCTACAAATTTACCTTGTTTTATGCTGTACCTGTGTTCCTAGAAAGACATATTGTCCCTCAGTCATGTCCAACTCTTTGCGACTCTATGGAGTGCAGCACGCCAGGCTTCCCTGTCCTTCGCCATCTTCCCGAGTTCGCTCAAACCAACGTCCGTTGAGTCAATGGTGCCATCCAGTCATCTCATCCTCTGCTGCCCCCTTCTCCTCCTGCCCCCAATCTTTCCCAACATCAGGATGTTTTCCAGTGAGTTGACTCTTTGCATCAGGTGGCCACAGTATTGGAGCTTCAGCTTTAGCATCAGTCCTTCCAATGAATATTCAGAGTTGGTTTAGGATGGACTTTAGGATGGACTGGTTTGCTCTCCTTGCTGTCCAAGGGACTTTCGAGAGCCTTCTCTACCACCACATTTTGAAAGCATCACTTCTTCAGTGCTCAGTCTTCTTTATGGTCCAGCTCTCACATCCAACATACATGACTACAGGAAAAACCATAGCTTTGACAATACGGACCTTTGTCAGCAAAGCAACATCTTTGCTTTTTAGTATGCTGTCTAAGTTTGCCATAGCTTTGCCATAACTTCCAAGGAGCAAGCAGCTTTTAATTTCATGACTGCAGTCACCATCTGCAGTGATTTTGGAGCCCAAGAAAATAAAATCTGCCACAGTTTCTATTTTTTCCCCATCTATTTTGAAAGCCATGCAAAACATTTTTGTTATTAATTAGGATTTAAATGGCAAGAAGTAGCTTACCCTAGGGTATATTGATTCCAGGTTAAAGGGGCATTTATATGCCCTAGCTATGAGTATTTATGTGCTCTGTATGCTTCATGTTATGTAGAACTACAGGTGACATAATCCCCTGGAGAAGGAAATGGTAACCCATGCCAATATTCTTGCCTGGAGAATTCCATGGACAGAGGAGTTTGGTGGACTACAGTCCATGGGGTTGCAAAGAGTTGGGCATGACTGAGTGAATAACCCTTTTACTTTCACTTTCAAATTCATATAAGTACAGTAAAATTAATACTCTAAAACTAGCTAATGTGCTTACTAATCAGAAAAAAATCCAATTTCTAAAAATTCTATCCCATTTAGTAATTTGATCCATATAACATATATATGTATGTATGTGTATGTGTGTATAGATAGCTTTATAAGAAAAAGTTACATTACACATCGTACTGAGTTTATTTTTTCTGCCCATCACTAAGATGTCTTTTAATTTTAAAAAGTGGATTATATAGATCTGTGAAATAAGCAACCAGAACAAAAACATTGTGTGCTTTTGTGGTTATGTAAACAAAAGGCTGAAAGTAACAATTTATACTGCTGGTCAAGCATTAAGTTGTCCTTATCAGCAATTGTCAATTTAAGTGCTGATAAATGGAGAAGACTAGAGCTGAATTCCCAGAAGGCCAGACCTTGGAAATTTCTCTTTTGAATAGATTACTGGTAGTTGTTGTTCGTCTTTCTTACAAAAGTAGAAACAAGTATGTTGTTGTTTAGTCGCTAAGTCATGTCCAACTCTTCTGTGACCTCATGGATTGTAGCCTGCCAGGCTCCTCTGTCCATGGGATTTCCCAGGCAAGGATACTGGCGTGGGTTGCCATTTCCTTCTCAAGGGACTCTTCCTAACCCAGGGATAGAACTCGTTTCTCCTTCATTGATAGGCAGATTCTTTACCACTGAGCCACCGAGGAAGTCCAGAAACAAGTATACAAAACTGGATTTAGAAAAGTGGGCATTTAAACAATCGCAGTGCCCTCCTCCTAAAGGTGATCAACAAATGATTTCAGTGACACTTATGCTGGGCTGGTCATCACTCCCTCCCTCTTCTAGATGACAGTCCTCTAGATTTCTGCAGCCAGAGCCCCTGTTCCCAGACCCAGCATCGCCTGGTGCTTCAGGACTTCCCAAGTCCCTCAGCAACATCCCAAGAAAATGGGACATCTTAGAGAAGACCCTACTGTGTCCTCCAGGTATGGTCCAGGGAAGGAAGACAAAGCCCTGGTTAATCATTCAGTTCAGTTCAGTCGCTCAGTCCTGTCCGACTCTTTGCGACCCCATGAATCACAGCACGCCAGGCCTGCCTGTACATCACCAACTCCCGGAGTTTACTCAAACTCAAGTCCACCAAGCTGGTGATGCCATCCAGCCATCTCATCCTCTGTCGTCCCCTTCTCCTCCTGCCCCCAATCCCTCCCAACATCAGGGTCTTTTCCAATGAGTCAACTCTTCACATGAGGTGGCCAAAGTACTGGAGTTTCAGCTTCAGCATCAGTCCTTCCAATGAACACCCAGGACTGATCTCCTTCAGGATGGACTGGTTGGATCTCCTTGTTGTCCAAGGGACTCTCAAGAGTCTTCTCCAACACCACAGTTCAAAAGCATCAATTCTTTGGTGCTCAGCTTTCTTCACAGTCCAACTCTCACATCCATACATGACCACTGGAAAAACCATAGCCTTGACTAGACGGACCTTTGTTGGCAAAGTAATGTCTCTGCTTTTTAATATGCTATCCAGGTTGGTCATAACTTTCCTTCCAAGGAGTAAGCGTCTTTTAATTTCATGGCTGCAATCACCATCTGCAGTGATTTCGGAGCCCAAAAAAATAAAGTCTGACACTGTTTCCACTGTTTCCCCATCTATTTCCCATGAAGTGTTGGGACCAGATGCCATGATCTTAGTTTTCCGAATGTTGAGCTTTAATCCAGCTTTGTCAATCTCCTCTTTCACTTTCATCAAGAGGCTTTTTAGTTCCTCTTCACTTTCTGCCATAAGGGTGGTTCATTATTACGCATCCCTTAATCAAGAGCATCCCTTAAGCAAGAGGCCCTATTTCTATTAATTCTGCAAATGGTTGTTAAAAGACCATTCATTTTATTTTATTTTATTTTTATTTCCCTGTGATTTTTTTTTCATTTATTTTTATTAGTTGGAGGCTAATTACTTTACATCATTGCAGTGGTTTTTGTCATACATTGAAATGAATTAGCCATGGATTTACATGTATTCCCCATCCCGGTCCCCCCTCCCACCTCCCTCTCCACCCGATCCCTCTGGGTCTTCCCAGTGCACCAGGCCCGAGCACTTGTCTCATGCACCCAACCTGGGCTGGTGATCTGTTTCACCCTAGATAATATACATGTTTCGATGCTGTTCTCTTGAAACATCCCACCCTCGCCTTCTCCCAGAGTCCACAAGTCTGTTCTATACATCGGAGTCTCTTTTTCTGTTTTGCATATAGGGTTATCGTTACCATCTTTCTAAATTCCATATATATGTGTTAGTATACTGTAATGAAGACCATTCATTTTAAACTAGTAGCTCATGTGTCCTGTGTGCAAGCTGCCCTGAATCTAGCTCTCCACATCCTCCACTGTGTCACTGAGTATAGTTAGTTCATCATGTTATGTTATTTGAGAAATGTGAGCTATGTAGAAAAGAACAGACTAAGCAAATGCTGAAGCGATTCACCAGCTTTCCTTATTTTGTAAACACTTTCAGTTTTTAAGGCTACATTATTTATTTGTCTTTGGCTGTGCTGGGTCTGGACTGCTGTGCCCAGGCTTTCTCCAGTTGCAGCCAGCGGGGGCTATTCTTCCCTGTGGTTCCCGGGCTCTAGAGCTTAGCAGCTTTAGTAGTTGTGGCACACGGGCTTGGTTGGTCCGCAGCATGTAGGATCTTCCCTGAGCATGGATTGAACATGTGTCCCCTGCATTGCAGGGCAGCTTCATAACCCCTGGACCACCAGGAAAGCCCCTGGTTGCTTTATAATCAGCTCTTGAAGTTGAGAAAGGACATCCACCTAAAATACGGTCAGTTTCCTGGGTCAGTATTAACCCTAACTTTTGTTTCCCTTTGCTAGTTTGGTTTTGGAATCTGATGTATCTCTAATTATTTGTCGTGTTGTATTACTTAGCATCAATTTGCCCCCAGCCATTTAAAGAGGCTTTGTGAGGAGTCAAGTCAGAGGCTACCCCATCTTTACTAAGTCTTTTTTCCCCAGTCATAATTTATTTCCTCAGCTTCCTTCTCATCTTCCAGCTTTGCTTCTGACACACCTCTTCTCTACAGAAAAACTGAAAGACATTTTCATTAGAATTAGAAGGAGTAGCAAATTATAATAGTTTGTTTTTCCTTTTCCTGTTTCTTTAGAAAGTCTCCCATTTGCTTTCTTTGAAGCTGTTTATGAGTGATCGCTTTGTTCTGCTCGCCTAAGACCCTTGCACGTTTGTTCTCTCTTTCATCATCACACCTTGAGTGTTGCCCATGTGGATTGCTTATTGAGATATCATTTGTTCTGCTTTTATCCTCACTAGACCACCCTTCCGTGTGGCTTTTTGATGGTAATATTGTCAAGATTGTCTCCCGATGTGTGCTCACTCCTGTTTCTTTGTAGATTTTTGTTTTAATACCTCTATTTTGACACATTTTCCCCCCTGTGTTATTAAAGGGAAGGTTTTACTCATAAATAAAAAAGTCTTTTTAAAATATATTTGACAAGGAGTTGGCCTTCCCCCATTTTGGTAAGCGAATTGAAGACAGCTAATTCTCTTTGTTGAAAAAAACTGCCACTGGCGAACAGCTTCTGTCCTCCTGACTAGAGAGATCTGAGGTGTTACTGCCATGAACTATTTGCTATCGACCTCTTTGCCTGTTTGGGTCAATGTAACTATCAGTGTGTTTTGAATATCAGAAC